CAGAAGAGGGGCAAGCGGGTGGGCTACTGGCTAAGCTAAAGGCTAATGCCAGGAGACCACCGTCTCTGTTCCTATCCGTTCACTGGACAACAAAATGGATCTGCTCCGACTGAGGCTGGAGGTTTATCGTGAGATGAGGAACTGTGCAGTGCTTTGTCTGATGGAAACCTGGCTAAAAGACAACATGCCCGATCCAGCTTTCCACATCGATGGCCGGCTTCTGTTCCGAGCGGACCGGAACCAGCAGTCGGGGAAAACCCTTGGAGGCGGACTATGCGTCTATATCAACAAAGGTTGGTGTACAAACTGCACTCTTGTAAACAGTCATTGCTCGGAAGCGATAGAGCAGATGACTGTTAAATGCCGACCACATTATCTTCCACGAGTTTACGGCAGTGTTTATTGTCGCTGTTTACATCCCGCCAAGGCTAACATAGCGCTAACAGAGCTGCACGCTAACATCAGCTCGCTCCAGCACAAGCACCCGGAGGCGTTCTACGTGGTTGCAGGGGATTTCAACCATGTAAACCTGACAGACACCCTGCCTAAATTTTACCAACATGTCAACATACTGACATGGGGAGATAACATGCTGGACCATGTGTACACAAACAAGAGAGACGCATGCAGAGCCGTCCCCCACCTGGGTTTCTCCGACCACATCTCCATCATGCTGGTGCCTGTCTATCGTCCCCTGCTCAGACGCCATGCACCCACACAGAAGATCATCACCGTGTGGCCCAGTGATGCTGTCCCCATATTGCAGGACTGTTTCCAGCGCACGGACTGGCAGATCTTCAGGGAAGCAGCTGTCCATGAAGGCGAGGTTGTGCAGAGGATGTAACCATCACCCAAACTGTAACCGATTATCCTAACCAGAAACCCTGACTGAACGCAGAGGTCAGGTCTCTGCTGAAAGCCAGGGATGCTGTTTTCAGGTCCGGTGACAGAGTCGCACTCGAAGCGGCAAGAACAAGGTTGAACACCGGTGTGAAGAGGGTCAATGCCGCATACGCCCGGAGGATCCAGGGTCACTTCTCGTCCAACGATCCGCAGAGTATGTGGAGGGGAATCAAGTGCATCACAGACTACAACACCAGAGATGCACAATGCCCCAGGGACCCCTCTCTTCCCGATGCTCTCAACAGATTCTACGCCCGCTTCAATGATCTGAACATCCCCCCCAGCACCAGGCTTACCCCTCCACCAGCAGAAGAGGCGCTCACCACCCCCCCAACACAGAGGTGAGGAGGACCCTCCAAAAGATCAACCCACGTAAAGCTGTTGGTCCCGACAACATCCCTGGGTGGCTGCTAAGGGACTGCGCACACCAGCTGACAGAGGTACTGACAGATATCTTCAATACCTCCCTCCAACAGGCGACAGTCCCCACCTGTCTGAAGGACTCCAAGGACTCCATCGATGTCACTGAGGACCCACACCAGTACGCATACAGGAACAACAAATCCACAGAGGACGCCATCTCTGTAGTTCACACAACCCTCACCCACTTAGAGGAGAAGGACTCCTATGTACGCATGCTCTTTGTGGACTTTACTTTAGCCTTTAACACCATCAGACCGCAGACCCTGATACAGAAGCTCAACACTCTTGGACTGAGCTCCACCCTCTGCAACTGGGTCCTGGACTTTCTGTCAGATAGACCGCAGTCTGTTAGGATCCATGACGTCTCCTCCTCCTCCGTCACGCTCAGCACCGGCTCCCCCCAAAGCTGCGTGCGGAGCCCCCTCCTATTCACCCTGCTCACACACGACTGCTCAGCACTACATCCGAGCTGTCTGATTGTGAAGTTCGCGGATGATACAGCCGTGGTCGGACGCATCACAGCCAACGATGAGTCCAACTACAGGCAGGAGGTAGAACATCTGGAGGGTTGGTGTAGAGAAAACAACCTCTGCATCAACGCGAAGAAGACCAAGGAGATGATCATCGACTTCAAAAGGGGGAGACACCCCCCCTCCCCTGCACATTGGAGGGACAGCGGTGGAAGTGGTCTCCAGCTTCAGGTACCTCGGAGTACACATCTCCGATAACCTCACCTGGAGAACAAACACTTCCTGCCTGATCAGGAAAGCGCACCAGCGCCTCTACTTCCTGAGGAGACTGAGGCCTCCTGGACTGGGGAGCTCAGTCCTAACCTCTTTCTACAGATGTGTGGTGGAGGGCGTCCTGTCCTCCTGCATCATCGTGTGGCACGGCAGCTGCTCGGCTGCGGAGAAGAAGGCTCTGCAGAGGGTGGTTAAGGCTGCACAGAGGACCATGGGACACACTCTCCCCACCACCACGGATGTCTACACCACCATATGCAGGAAACGGGCCTCCTGCATCATGAAGGACCCTGCAAATGCTCTGTTTGCCCGCCTCCCCTCAGAAAGACGGCTACGGAGCATCAAAAGCAGGACCACCAGACTGAGGAACAGCTTCCTCCCTGAAGCTGTGAGACTGTTGAACTCCGGTGGACCCCTGTAACCCCCCCGTCCCCCCACATTGACTCTGCCAAATACCCCCTCCCCCACAACAGGAAATATGTGGGCCTGCTCATGGCCTCACAACTACTGTCCCCACCTTCATCGC